GGGGTTATTGCTGCTCTCCCTGCTCTCATCCATGCTAGGCTGCATGCATGCACAGGGAGTTCTTGCCCAGAACAGAACCACACCGCCAATCCAAACTGTATGCTAATTGTCAATCATCTTTGACGATAGTGGTCCTGACAGAAATATATAAATCAAGTTGCAGTTTACATACGAATAGTTGACTAGTTACATTAAAAGTTCAGGATGCGCAGACGGGGGAAGCGAGCTGGCCTGAGCTTCACGAGCGTGCAGCGCGGATTCAGGACGCCGTTGCCTAGCATCCATCTGGCGATCCTCCGCTCTCTACCCAACAAAACAGACGAACTCCTTCTGCTCTCCCAGACAAATAAGGATTTTTCAAACTCTGCTGCTCTGTGTTTCACGGAAACCTGGCTGAAAGACGCCATTCCGGACAGCGCGTTGAGTCTCCCGGGCTTTCAGCTGTTCAGAGCGGATCGCGACGCAGAATCAACGGGGAAATCACGTGGCGGCAGGACATGCTTTTACATCAATGAGAGGTGGTGTACAGATGTAACTGTGTAAAAGAAGATGTGCTGTTAAGATCTAGAAGTGCTCTTCATTAACTAAACCGTTCTATTCGCCGCGGGAGTTTTGCTCATTCATTCTCATCAGTGTTTACATTCCTCCTCAAGCGCACGTGAGCTCCGCTTTACAGAAACTCGCTGATCAGATCACAGACACAGAACAACAACACCCGGACTCTGTTTTAATCATTCTCGGGGACTTTAATAAAGCCAATCTCTCCCGTGAACTGCCAAAATACAGACAGCACATCACATGTCCCACCAGAGACAGTAATATATTGGATCACTGTTACACCACAATAAAGAATGCATATCACTCTGTTCCACGGGCCGCTTTGGCGCTCTCTGATCACTGTTTGGTTCATCTTATACCGACCTACAGGCAGAAACTGAAATCAGCTAAACCTGTATTAAGGACTGTAAAAAGATGGACTAATGAAGCAGAGCAGGATTTAAATGCTTGTTTTGACCTCACTGACTGGAGTGTTTTTGAAGCTGCTGCCACCGATCTGGACGAGCTCACAGAGACTGTAACATCTGATATCAGTTTCTGTGAAGACATGTGCACTCGTTTAACATTCAATAATGATAAGCCATGGTTTACAGCAAAACTTCGTCATCTTCGTCAGGCCAAAGAGGA